AAGGTAATGATAGTAATTCATTCTTAGACTTCCAAATGACTAGGAGAAAATATGGAATGATAATTAGACGTTTATATGGAAAGCCATCGAAAAGTCAGTATACTCCTTCTTTCTTTTTTAGGATTTTTCATGAACTGACATCGGTTAGAGGACCATTAGAAAACCACTAGGGAGTGCTCGAACCCAGAACCTTCTGATTACAAAGCTAGCGGACTTGTATACCATTAAGCCACTGGGACCCGATCCAATGGCCAGTACATGAATTCTAACTTCTGCCAACTCATGACATAGTGCAACAGCTAGCCAATGTCTTCGGTAAGTATTTGTCCCCACACCCGAACTGCTGCACCCTACTGGTCATGACTCCTTACTAACCGACACTTGAATATCACTGTGATGTTCACTAGCGACCTGCCCTATTCATGTAAGCAGTTACCTGGGGTTCTAGTGAGAAGTCGTGACCAGTAGAATGCAGAATGTCGGCTGTGGGGACAAATACTCGCCGAAGACATTGGTTAGCGGTTGCACTATGTTATGAATTGGCAGAAGTTAGTATTCATGGGTTGGCCATTGGATGGGGTCCCAGTGACTTAATGGTATACGAGCTCGCCCTTTAACCAGAATGTCCTCGGTTCGAATCCCACGGTGTGGGTGCGTACTGATGAAGAGTCCTAAACTAGGACGGAACAGCTGTCCAGTACTCCCTTCTGGTTTTCCAGTGGTTCTCTAACCAATGTCAGCTCACGATGAAATCCTGTAAGCAATGAAATCCCTACAAACCAACTCTTGAAAAAGTGAATTTCCGAAGAAGTCATTTCATGCAAATTTGGGTTTACTGCTGAGGAATTTAATACGTCAGCAGTTCCAAAGAAGTTGTTGTTTTTAAGACTTCAGTTTTGTAATGTTATCATTAGTGAAATAGTATCGTACACTTCAGTCGATAAGAACACATATCGAAGTAATGGCGAAGACATGATATATATTCTTTCGTATCAATCCATGTAGATAATTATGGACACGAATTTGATTGGGATAATGTAAAAATGTTAATCAGAAGAAACACCAAAATCTCTGTCAGGGAATTCCTAGAACCCTGGTACTCAAATGGATTAGCAATTAGCAAACAGATTGTTATAGGAGTTGATGACGGATTGATATCAGTTAGAGAACCATTGAAAGCCAGCACTGGAGTACTGGACAGCTGCTGTTTCATCCTAGTTTGGGAATCATCGTCAGTACGCACCCACTGGGATTCGAACCCAAGACCTTCTGGTTGGGGTCGCGCTAAATCACGAATTAGTAGAAGTTAGAATTCATGTGCCGGCCATTGAATCGCGTCCCAGTGGCTGAATGGTATACGAGCTCGCTGGCCTTGTAACCGGAAGGTCCTGGGTTCAAATCCCAGTGGGTGCGTACTGACGATGATTCCCGAACTAGGATGAAACAGCAGCTGTCCAGTAATCCAGTGCTGGTTTTCAATGGTTCTCTAACTGATATCAATCCGTGATCAACTCGTAAAAACATAACAAACCCTTACAAACCAATCTATAGAAGATTGTTATAGACCAAATTTACCAGTTAATAAAAAGTAAATCATATGATGACAAGAAAGTTCAAATTCCAAGTCAATAAAAATATGATCAGTAGAGATGTAAATTAACATCCAGTCACGACAGTAGTTGCTAGGAGATAAAATTACATCATTCGTGAAGAATTCAAATAAGTTCATTTTATACTAAAGCCTGCACTGAATATGTTGTCTAGAAGTTGGACAACGAAAGCTTCGCAATTAGATCAACTATCTTAGAGAACACAATTTATTCCTGTTTTGTCTCTTCAACAAAACAAGAACATAAACCTGTAAACACACTATTATTCCCTTACGTCCTGAGTGGAACATAGTGTTTCAAAATAGGATATCTTCATTTAACTCTGTTCTCTTTATTCCTCGTCTTCTCTTCACACGACCTCTATTATATCCGGTTCCACTCGTGAACCTGACTGATGCGTAAAAGTACTTAGTTTTCTCTTCACAGTTTGTCCATATCCTTAAAGATCCAGCTAGTTATATGAGGTATATAATCAAGCATGTCCATCTTAGCAATTCTGAAAATCTTCCTTCATAGCTAAGTAAGTAACAAATAAAGTTTATTTCCAGGTCTATTTTAGTACGTGTTGTAGATACTGAACGTGAAATTCCATGTTAACAAAGAGCTTCACTGTTTTCAAATGTAAAATGCTTCATGAATGGCTCGCTCTGACTGCTTATGTAAATATAGGGAGTAGGCACACACACTGAATGTATTGGTCAGTACACTTATTCAGAAAACTGCATGAATTTTATGTCCTACCTTCCAATGTCAGCTTAATTAAGAAAACAGAAAACTCATTTAGCATTTACCGACTGTCGTTATCTGTGCCACCGGTAAGCTATCCAACCTGCTTACTCCACAAAATATAATATATATATATATATTACGCATGGTAAGTCAATACCTTCCTGTACTAGAAGTGTTAAAAAAGTTGGTCACGTTGAAAACAATAAAAAGTGTTCTTGAAGTAATTTAGTGGGTGATGACTGGCAGTGGAATCGAGAATGTTCATTTCATCCTATTTAGGACTCGTTAGCTCAATGTGTACCTGCAATCCTCGGTGATTGATGGGACTGAGACTAGAACCCAGTACCCATCGTTTTAAAAATCAGGGTGGTATCTACTTGAGCTATGAGAGCCATCCTGGTCCTAGTTATCTGACATAGGTTGAGGTTGGAAAAGAGCCAGTGGTGGTCAAACTAAAACATGGCCTCATCAGTCAATGAAATCCACAATAATTAGTTTAAGCCAGTCACGTAGGAAGATGTAGACTTCCTGGTTGAGGTTCTCGGGACGGTGAACACCAATGACTGGGAACAATTGGTGATAGGGCTCAAACTCATCATTCTCAATGGCTGGCGCAGATGCATCCACTCCTTGTGACTTATAATACCCAATGAAACTATATTGTTCTTCGATACCACTATTTCTGTTTGCCTCATATCTCTGTTTATTGTCTCTATTTTACGTTTCTTTTTACTTTCTTCTTCTCCGGCTTTTTGTACTGAGTAAAGTGTGGCTATTCGAACTGCTACGGATGGGTGCAAAGTTCTCTGTTGAAACCAGTCAGTCAGTAGTGTTAATCTCAAAGGGAACACCATCATCACTCAATGGAGAGTGTAGGTACATCCAGCTAACGAGTCTCACATAAGACAAAATACGCATCCTAGATTCCAGTGCTAGTCACCTTCCACCAAATTACTTCAAGTTAATCCTCAGACATAGTCGAAGCGTCTGTACTAGATGCCAATATGTCATAATTGACTTACAATAAACAAAATAAACAAGGGGTGCTCACCCTAACACATGCTGTCAATCTGTAAAATCGTCAACTGATGGTTTGAACCACTGAAGCAGATGTAGGCTGTCTAACAGAGGCCGTCAGAATGCTTAGAATCAGTGTTTTGTGACTTTTTCATATCGTTTTTCAAATCGTTTACAATGATGTCGATGTATTCAGTTTTTATCATCGTAATTCTGAACGTACTCACTAACCCTAGTTATTCCCTCCTCCCCCTCCCCCATATATTTATTAACAGAAGTAACAATACATTTGTATTCCTCTTATGTATGCTTTTTCGAAGCATCAGCTTGATGTGATGAACATGTGTATGTAAAGTTCTACATTTATTCGTCATGTGGTTTGATTGATATTTGTGCCTCATTATGAAGGAAACAAACTTGACAAAATATTAGTCATTATGTGGTGAATGTTACTGATAAGATTTATTAGTAGTATATAAAGGGATATCCATAAGCATAGGGAAATCAAGTGGCAGGGAGACACATTTGATACCACAGAAGGCTAATGATACAGAGTTGCGGAAATACATGGAAGATGTGAAAGGAACACAAAGAAATACAATGTGAAGTCCAGAAGAACCAACAGCACGAAGATCTGAGCAAATTAGCGTTGAAGATAAGATATACATAATTTGACTATATATAGAGATACCAAATTGCAAACAAACATTCCTTTATCAAGTCTTTCGTCTTCTACAATTTCAATTATACTACACTCGAGAAGGAAACGACAATGTACACGGTGGCATACACTATGTTAACTGTTTAGTGAGGTGTCATTATCTAATAAAAGTCCCCTTTTACATCACAGAATACCACAATATATATATACGACTAGTGGATGAGTGATGCTTTCGGCAGTAACATTCAACCAAAATTAGTTATTTCAATATAGCGAAAATATTGACTCAGACATCTATAAAAAAAAAAAAATAATCGAGCAAAAGAATATCCTTTTCGATAATTTCCTCTTCTAACTCTACAATTATATACATAGAATATTCTAGAATAGTCGTCATTAACAATATTGGTGTTTCTGAGTACTATCGATTTGTTAAGTAAGATCACAATGGAATTACAGTTCACGAAAGATGCATAAATTGTAATAAGCATAAAAATTGTCATAGCAAATAGAATATCAAATAAAATTAGATAAATTTCCACAACAAACTGAGGATCGTTGAAACTTTGATGGCCAAGGTAAGGACAGTGTCTGAACCAACTTCTTCTTTTAGATACTTAAGTTAGCTTCCTTAATGTGGATTCCAACGACCTCAGCAATATTATGTAGTAGACGAATTCTTAAGGTGAAGTTAAGATTAGTTAGTATACAGTAGTTGACTTTGAAAGCAGCCTCGCTCGTTAACATCAATCTTGTCTGTGTGTCTGTATCCACAACTTGAGATAAAACAGCGCTACGTGAATGGATTTTGTTTGTCCTTTACGCAACCACACAGGGTGATGTTTGGAAATCTGACAAGATTTGTTGTTTTACATAGTTTTCTAATTTTGTGAACTTATTTTTTTCATTCGTAAAGAGAGTGATTATTTTCATTAGAATCCAATATCAATCTGTTAAATCTTTTTAAAAAAAAATTATTATAGGAATGGTTTGAATCTTTTGCTGAATATGTCGTTGATGATCAACACTGGCATAAGGTGTACACAGTAAGTTATTTGTTACTTTTGTTATTAATATTTTCCTAAAGCTTAATTCTTTAATTTGCATTCATCCTTTTTATTTGTCTCATGTCTATCATGCGTTAAACTCTAATTTGTTTTACAATAAATAATTGATTTATATATTCAAGTATTAGTTTTGTAGGGATTTTGTTTGATTGCATGGAGGATTTCATCACGAGCTGACATCAGTAAGAGAAAACTACTGGAAAACCTGGGAGTACTGAACAGCTGTTTCGTTCTAGCCTGGGACTTTTCAGACATCCGCTGGGGTTCTCGAACCCAGCGAGCTCGTAGACTATTAAGCCACTGGGATCCGATCTAACGGCCAGGCCAATTCATGACATAGCGCGACCACTTCGCAGTGTCTTCCTGGATGAGTTATTGCCTCATCTTTAGCCTGCTGTACCCTACTGATCACAGCGGGTGCGTACTGATGAAGAGTTCCAAACCAGGACGAAACAGTTGGCTGATCAGTACTCCTAGCTGGTTTTCCAGTGGTCCTCTAAATGATGTCACCTCATGATTTATACATGTCTAGTGTAAACGTGATTTTAATTTTCGTCATGTTTAGTATAATGGAGAAAATTTGTCGCTCGGGTGGAGGATGTTTTTGATTTGGTTGTGTTCTCTGCTGAGCTGGTTGATTTAATTGTGAAGCTTTCATTGTCCACCATCTAGACAACATCTCCAGCGCAGGTTTTGTGGTATGAAATGTACTTATCTGAATTCTCCATGAATAATATAATTGTATTTCCTGACAACTATGTGTTATGTTTGGTTGTTAAATTACATCTTTATTGATTATTTTTATTGATCTGGGATTTGAAGTTTCTTCCCGCTTGATTTATTTTTTATTAGTTGGTAGTGCGTTGGTGGCACAGCGGTAGAATGCTCGCCAACCGCGCATGTGGTTTGTGAGTTAGATACCCGGTTGACACACTCCTTTACCTGGCTATGCCAGTAATAAGACTGGTAAAAAGGGAAGGTTGGGCATGAGGCTAACTAGCAACCCCATCCCGTAAAAGTAAACATCACTGCTAACGAAACTTTAAAGCTCTAGCTTGAAGCTCTATGTAAAGGAAAAAAATAATAATGTAATAAATGTGTCTACTAATCTCTGATCCATATGTATACCAGGCTTCTAGATATTTCCTGACATTTTCGGTGCTTCCTCTATTTAAAATTTCTCCATTCTCCTAATCAAATTGGCGTCCGTAATTTTCTATATATACATCGATATGAAAGAATGCATGTCGTGTCTTTTCTCAGTTACTTTGTGTTCTTGGATTCGGCGTCGAAAGGGACGTCCACTTTGATCGATATAGTGTTTATTGTAGTCCATGCCATTTACTTTTTTTTATCGTATTAGCCTTATCTTCTTTGTCTGTTGAATCTGTTGGTCTGCACACTATCGATTGTGTTAGCTTGTGTGCTATGTCTATTTCAAGTAGTCTTAATATTTTCTAGCCGTTATTTCAGATATATTCTCCATATACGATGGAGTGAATTTCCTTGTGGTCTTTGATAATGGTTTCGTGTTGGTATCTCTATTTGATTTGAAACATTTTTCGGTGAAACAGTTAGTAGATATTTCTCTTGCATTCTCTTCAGGATCGGATTATTTAAGTGTGTTTAAACTCTTTTAAACAGTTTTTGCACGCAGTTTCTTTGGTGATTTATTGGGTTATCGATATTATAGTTGAGTATTTGGTCTATGTGCCTTGGTTTCTATGTATACTTGTGTTTTTAAATGTCAACCAGCTTAAAAAATACAACTAAATTAAAATATGCTTAGTATTCTAGCTGATGTGAAATTTTCAGTTATTGGTTTGCATAGACTCAATAGACGATTTCAAGTTAGACCATGAATTGATCAGACTGAATCCAATGGCTCTTGGATTCTAACTACTGCAGATTAGCAATATTTATAACTTCACCGTCAGTCAGTATCATCGGCAAGTATCTCTGCCCTAATACCAGTAGAGTCACCCAAGTCAGGTTTGAGGTCGAATACTCGTTGTGAACACTGAATTGTCGGTGGTGCTATATGTCGCGAATTGAAAGAAGTTAGAATTGAAGCATACCATTGGATTCCATCCCATTGGTTGAATAGTCACTGAGGTCGCCTTGGGATTTGAAGATCTTGGGTTAGATCCTTGTTAAGGGTTAGGGAGGACTGCGTACTGCTGATGAGTCGAAAGCACTAGGACGAAACAGATGTTCACTGCTCCTTACTCTTCATTGGCTGTCTAACTGATGTTATTCCGTGAGATAACTTGAATTTTGAAATGCATCGATGTCTAATTGAGCTATTTCTGAGTATTTTCTCAGCATCTAAGGTGGGGTGGGGAGGGATGTTTACACTCAGCTTGTGTCCGTAAACAATCTAAGTGTTCAACGTAAACGTTAATCTGTGTTTTGTTGTTTTCATGTTATATATTTACAGTTAATTAACAAGATCGTCATTAGTTGTTATTAAGAAGTGTGTTTCTAAGCCATTCAGCTATTTGTATTTATTCATTTTCAAAAGAATGGATACTGAACAAAGAGTACTCTTTTCGATAACTTCATCATCAGGCACTGCATTTATACATACATTATAGTGAATGAATGAATTAGTGTTATGAACAACATTAATGCTGTTTAAATAACACCGAATCAATCATAATGATACCAGTGGCGTACAGCTCAATAGCATCAACATAAAATAAGCTGAATGTCAGAAAAATTAGGAAGATAATAGCACAAATTCGTGAATTTATAGTCTCTACTGAAGACTGACCAGGGCAGTGGTAGGGGCTGAACTTGCTTCTTTTGAACACAGAGCACTGGTTGTTGGAGGCGAATTGCAATAGCCTCTGGTGTTTGGAGCATGCGGTGCTTCGATGATTTTGGCAATTTATTAGGCACCCTGTAGATTATAGAGAAGGATTCTTCCACACTGCAGGCTTTGTGGACGGTTTGCACTAGATGGTCCAATATCGAACTGTTAATAGTTTTCACTACACCTTCACTTAGCTATGCTGGGAGATGTTCTCGAGTGAGCACAAAAAGTCAAGTTCCTAGAGCAACGGCCAATATAACTCGCTCCACAAAAAGCCATATTCCTTAGTGTTAATATAAACGGAATATGAAACCTGTTTATTGTTATTATCCCCATGTGTTCCGAGTGAAACATAAGCATTCAACAGAACATCACTTTATCCTGTTCTCTGCAGTCCTATTTAGCTGATGCCACGATTCCCTATAGACTCTCATCTCCTTCCTACAAGATCCCTTCCATGTTACCCTCGGTCGCCTAACTTGCTACTTCCCACTCATTTTCCACACGAGAGATGATGACCTGGCACGCGATGTGACCCAACGGTCTCCTCAGCGTGTATCCGATCCATCCCCATTTTTTTCTGTATATTTGTTGAGCAATAGATTCTTGATTGGTTCTTGCCTGGAATTCCTTGTTACAAATTCTTTCTAGCCTTCTGATCTCAATATGAAGCGAAGACAGCTGCTGATGAAAGCCCGTTGGAAATACTATTCATGATATCCACGTCAACTTTCTTACCTATATAGAATAACTAACTTAATATTGGCATTGAAAATTAGAATCTCTTTCTTTATGCTGCGGAGTGCCGAAGATTTCCAGACTGATTTCGGAATGGCAAAGGTCTATCTTGCCTTTCCGATTCTGGTTTTACCATCTTTATGGGTGCTGTCACGTGTAGTTGAAACGATGCTTCCTAGAAAAGTGGAGGAATTGACCTCTTTCAAATTTACTCCGTTGATAGTGATTGGTGTTTGTTGCAGTTGTTGGTCGGTGGTTATCTCCATCACCTCTGTCTTGTTTATGTTCACTTGAACTCCTGCCTTGTCGTTCCCTATTCAGGGTGTTCTGCAAATTCCACTCCACTACAATTAAGAATATCATCATCGGTGACAGTAGACAGTCTTATCATACTCCTGTATTCCTTTCAAAGGCTTTTCTGAGTTTTCCATTGTGGATTACTCGGCATGTCTCATTGTCATATAGACGCTTAAGGAGGTTGATCAAGATACGGGTGCTGTACTGCATAATGTTGAAGTAATTTCCAAATTATTTTGCGGCCAACTCTGCCGAAGGCCTTTTCAAAGTCACTGAAGTTGAGGTAAGGATTTGACTGCGATTCTATGCTCTTTTCGGTGATGACATGTAGATTAGCAATTTGATTTGCATATGATTTACTTTTCCTGAATCCAGCTTGTTCCGGGCGGAGTTCTGAATCCAGTACATCTGTCGATGTCTCCGAAATGACGAGATCTAATATTTGCTTGACGTGAACAAGAGTGCCTTAAGTCGCCCTTCATTGATAGTGTGATTGGTAGCCTTGAAACTTAATTAGTGCGCTTTAATAGTTTGTATAGATTGACATTAACTGAGGGATCACTTCAAACTAAAGGTGTTTTAGAAGCTCGCCAATGTTGAATACTAAACACACATTACCTTTTGGTACTAAATCTATGACTCTGTTGTCTATTCATGGTCTGTTTACTACTATTACCACTTGTAGTTGTCAGAACTGCTGATATTTCACAATAATTACACAATGGTAGAATTCTAGCCAACCATGCATGAAGTCTGGGTTCGATTCCTTGCTGATTTACTTTCAAACTTCACCACCTACTTTACTAGTCGGTAGTAAATGCGGCTAATGGGGGTGGTTGTCAGGCGTGAAGCTAGCTACTCCATCCACCGCTAGAAGAAACTTCAAATAGGGCTTGAAGCGCTATATTTTCTATTTCAGAAAGCATAAGGAGTGGAAAATCATTGTTAAAAATCATGTGTTATTGATGACAGCTATATACTTTCATCCAAGCTGCTTAATACTAACTAACTAGTCTATTCATCTTAATAAATAACTGCAATTTCTTTTTATTTAATTTTATTAAAGATAGCTGACTATTTTGATTTTGTCAAAATAACTGGAACGGAAAAACGTCTTATTTTATTTCTAAATGATGATAATTTATTTTTAAAAAATGCATTATGTATTGGTCTGTTAATTATTTCTGACAGAAATTTATGTTTCGTAAGCAATACAAAAGATTTTTGTTACTGAATAAACGCTTCAGTGTGACTGAAACTTAACTCTATGTGAATTTGATGAAATATTCATAAAATTACTACTTCATTAAATCTGGTGGATGGTGACTAGCACTGAAATCTAGGACGCGCATTTCGTCCCAATGTGGGACTCGTCATCCCGATGTGCCTGCAACCCCTGGTGAAGTGTGGTGTTCTCATTGAGACTGGAATTCAGTATTCATCATTTCAAATTTCAAAGCGTTATCCACCTGGGCCACGAGAACCATATTTTGTACAGCGAGTGTCAGTTATTATTTATTTTTAATTGAAATTTGGTTGTCTCGTTGCTTGATTGGACCTGAATGTTCGGTGTCTGACTCCCTTTGCACAAGAGGCGACTCTCATGGTTAAAGTGATCAAGATGATAACGCTTCAGCGTTCAAAACGATGGTTACTGGGTTCGCGTCCCAGTGAGAACACTATTACTCACTGGGGAATACCGACACACATCTGGATGCGGAGTTCGAAATGGGAAGAAACACTCATCCTGTGATGAAACCTGGCTGAGAGCCAAAAACTGTAGACAGCTGTTCACGCCAATTCTACGTCCCGATTCGCGGTCATGGGAAAAACAGTAAAAATGCTTGACCTTGATGAACTCACCAACCGATCACAGCAGACTTAACGTGTGCAAATTGGATTCGCAGATATATGGCTTAAATTTCTGAGGAATGGTCACAAGCAGCAAAAAATAACCTTCAGCAAGAAGACAATAAATCAGAAGACTTTGCTTCTCTGCTGACAATAATATACATAAAAATGTTTAAATATCTCTTGATTTCCTCAATAAACGATCTGTTTCCTGGCCCTTATCTTTTGTCGTTACAATCCTGGATTCTACTGCCAGTTACCATCCACCAAATTACTGCAAGTTGATCCTCAAACATCTAAGAAACTTCACAAGGAGCCGACATTCCAGCAGAAGCCAAACATTTCTGTCTAATCAAGCAATGGGGAAATCAAAATGGCATTAAAATTGGTTTTTTAGGGATTCTGTTTGGTTAGTTGGAGGATGAAATCCTCCAACCAATAGAATAAAATTACTTATTAATTGTTTGTCGATTCTTCTCTTTGCTAAATAAATTCGTCTATCTCTTTTTTTTCTTAGTGTCATTCAGAATGTGTTCCCGGTGGTTGTACAGGTCCTGCAGCTGACCAATGCCTTTATGGATGTAAAACTTTTGCAACAGAAAGCAGGTAAGCTCTTTTTTATAAATAACAAGCAAATAATAATTATTATTGTTTGTTCAAGTGTTGGTGTGCAGGGATTTCATTTTTTTAATTTCAAGTTACATCACAAACTTACCTCAGTTTTAAGAACTACCAGAAATCATGAAGAAGTATTGGATAACTTTTACGTGTTAGTATGGAATTCTCCAGGAGTACGCATACATGATCCCACCGGAGATTTTAGTTTACCACATGACCTCGATGGCCACTTCACTATTGAGATATAATCCAATGTCCTATGAGTTAAAATTTCTGCCAGTTCATAATATATAGAGTTGATGCCTTCAGATATCATCGGCGAATATTTGTCCTTACACCTAAGATATTATTATTATTTCCTTTATTTCCTAGAGGAACATAGGGACTTCTGCCACACGTCTCCAATGCGTTCGGTTCTCTGACAACGTTTTCACCCCGCCCCAAGTCTGCCCACACGCTTTCATCTCCTCTTCACATGACCTCCTCCAAGTCACCCTCACACTAACGACCAACTCGCCGCTTCCCTTTCGGGTTCCACTCGAGCAATGGCTTGTCTAGTGATGTCACTTGATAGTTTCCTCAGAGTATGTCCAGCCAATCCATCTCCATTTCTTCCTGTTTCACAATCGGTTTCTGGTTGGTTCGCTCATTGCCAGAGATCCTTCACTATTGCTGATCTTTTCTGGCTGGCCATCTAATCTTGAGTACTGAGCGAAGACAGCTGTTAATGAAGGTCTGTAGTTTGTTTGAAATGCTCTTTATGACGCTCCAAGTCTCTGATCCGTATAGTGAGTAGCATTGACTGACTTCACATTGGAGTTGAAAATACGGATGTTATTTTTGATTCTGAGTGCTGTTGACCTCCACACAGACTTGAGAGTAATGAAAGCTTGTCCTGCTTTTCCGATTCTGGCTTTGATATCCTCGTCAGTTCCGCCTGTAGTTGAAACTATACTTCCCACACACCTAAGTTAGTGGACATCATTGGTCATTATTTCTCATAAGAATCCAAGGCAACTTCATTGTTTAGTCAGTCAACCCCAAACTACGACGAAAAGCTATCCACTACTCTCTGGTTTTCACTGATCCCCTGAGAGATGTCACTTCGCGATTTGACCGGCTATAAATATTTATGGTATCAAATTAATGTATAAGTAATATTTTTATGTAAATATCATTTTGATTACTGCCTTCAAAACTTATGCCATAACCCAAAACATAACACTGATCTATAAAGTCTATGACTGTTCACTCCAGCTATGCTGGTAGATGTGAACTACCTGTCGCTGTGACTGTTAGTTAACAATTCATTCTTTTTCATTCCAAGCGGGCTTCATACTTTGAGCCTGTTTTGTTTTTATGGGAGTGAAGTTTCCAGCTTCACATCCAAACTTCCCTCTTTTCCAAGCTTTTACTGCCTGTCGTTAGTCGAGGTTTAGGAGTGCATCGGTTGGAAGTCGAACCTCGACCATATAAGACGTGGTTGCTGAGCATTCTACCCCTGAACAACTGACCCATGTTGGTTTACAATAGCATAGACATATTCATGACTTCCTACAATCTAGAGTCTAAAAATCTTTACTCATCTTTGACAAATTGTCCCTTTTTTCTCTTCCTAATTTATAACTCTTTTCTGTACTTTTATGTTTGTTGTAGCTTGAACTGTAACTCGCTTTTGTGCTAAGTTCTTCGTTGTTAATTCAGTTTAAAATATTGGTTTTGTAGGATTTTGTTTGATTGCGTGGAGGATTTCATCATGAGCTGACATCAGTTAGAGAACCACTGAAAAACCTTGGAGAACTGGACATCTCTTTCGTCCTAGTTTGGGACTCTTCAGTAGTACGTACCCACCGGGGTTCGAACCCAGGACCTTTTGGTTACAAGGCGAGCTCGTAGACCATTGAGCCCATGATGAAATCCTCCATGCAATCAAACAAAATCCCCTACAAAATCAATACTTGAAAACTGATCTGATGCTCACTAGCGACTGCCCCCCCTGGGGTTCTAGGGGGAAACCGTGACCATTAGGGTACAGCAGGTCGAAGATGGGGCAGTAACTCATCGAAGAAGATGTTGCGAAATGGTTTCGCTATGTCGTGAATTGGCAGAAGTTAGAACTCATGGACTGGCCATTGGATCGGGTGCCAGTGGCTGATGAATGGTCTACGAGCTAGCTCACCTTGTAACCAGAAGGTCCTGTGTTGGAACCGTGGTGAGTGGATGCGTACCGGTGAAGAATCCCAAGCCAGGATGAAACTGCTGTTCAGTACTCTCAGGTTTTCAGTGGCTCTCTATCTCATGTCAGCTCATGATGAAATCCTCCATGCAATTCAGTTTTGAAAATTCAGTTTTAGTTTAGTTCATTTATGTCTCAACTAATTATCAGTCTTTAAATATACAACACACTATACCAGGTATATGTTTAGTGTATTATTCTAAATACCTTGAGTTAATCTAAAAATCTAGTGACTTGTACACATGTAGATGTACAATTGTGCATCTTTGCACAGGGAAAAAATACAATTAGGAAAGCAGATGTTATTTGTTTAACTACTTCAATTTGTATAAAAAAAATGCGTAGCTAATTATAAGTCTGATATGTTTATGCTGAAATTATTGTAAAGAGTTGTAACACACGTATTCCTTTGGTGGTGGCTAGCTATAGAACCCTATTTGAGACTGATTGATATAATTGCTATGCCACTACTTGTCTCAACTAATCAGTAGTATATAGTTTTATGCAAATATACTCGGTTTCTTGATTTCCGGTAATAGTATCAAGTAGATCACATACTGTGGTCTGAATAACTTGCTTCCTCAAAGGAAACTACCAATCAAACTATGTAGATTGCGGACTATGAATTTGAGGCTTGTTACCTGGATGTGCCTGTAAATCTCAGTGAGTGATGATATCCCCACTGAGAATTGAACTCAACATCGATTGCTTCAAACACCACAGTGGGTATCATTATAACACATTGTTTGTTGTTATTTGCCTCGACCATAACAGCTTCTCTAGCAACAAAGGCGTAAGTCTACCTTAGATGTGATGTTTATATGTATGATGCACTGAACAGTAGAAATTATAAACTTGAATAGATGAATGACAAACGACAGTCGGTCTCTGTTAGTCCTACTCTAGCTATTTACTGAATTGAAGGATTTCTGTTTAAACCTGATCGTGGCCCAAATGGTCTAGTGAATAACGCCATGGCGTTTGAAACTATGGGTACTGGGTTCGAGCCTTGATGGGAACATCGTCGTTCACTGTAGAATGTAGGTACGTCCAGACGAAGAGTCCTAAATAGGACAAAATGCGTATCTTGGATTCCACTGCTAGTCACTATCCACCAGTTAACTTCTAAACATGATCTGCTTTTAAAAATTCTTATATATTCTTTGGGAAGCAGGGTTATAAGTAAATGGTAAAAGGATTTCAGAGACAATGGTAATCTCATATTTTCCTCATTTTATCTTTCTGCGTTTTTCTCAGACAATGTGTATCCGTTTGTCCTCCGGGGACAACAGCATTTGGTGCCTTACGTCTTAGTAATTCATTGAATAATTATGCCAATGCAAACAAGAACAACAATAATAATAATAATGGACAGAAATCACGTGATCGTGTCAAACCTGAAGCTATGTTATCATCATCCGGTGCACGTATTCGCAGTAGTGCTGAAGGTTATCCTTTGGGTGTGAATGATGATCCTTTACAAATCAATGGTAATAATCAACAAGGATTTAAAAATGAAATGGTCTGTCAACCATGTTGGTCATTATGTTCAGCATGTATACGTCCACATATTGAATATGATTGTACAGCATGCTCAAATCAACGCTTTCTAGTACCATTGTTAACAGCGAATGAAGATAAAGGATTATCATTTTCTTATCAATCGTATCAAGATAATAATGGGCAAACTAACAAGAATGGAGATAATAAAAAATAATAATAACAACGTCTATCTTGAAAATGCAAAACATTTAAATTTCAATTTACCTCAAGTAATTGGTACATGTCGAACTGAATGTCCTGCTGGATTTTTTGGTAATAAATCTACTTCAATATGTGAATCGTAAGTCTTTCAGTGTGTATCACCTGCATTATTGATTATTTCATCAAATATCTGTGAAGATCTCATCACTGACCGAAATCAGTTAGAGAATTATTGAAGGCCTAAGACCACTGGATATCTTTTTTGTTCTGGTTTGGGACTCTTCAGTGGTATGAACCTATGACAGCAGCAGGAGTTGAGCGTGAAATGTTCAGATTAATCGATCACAGAGTCCCTGACTAGGGCGAAACAGCTTTCCAGTGTGCTCTACGGTTTTCAATGATTTTCTAATTGCTCTTGGCATATAACAACAACAAATTCTGCATTGGATCTAATCAAAATAGCTACAAAATCCAAAATCTTAACTTCATCAAACAATTTTCTATCTACTAGAAGACCATTGAAGTCTAGAGGACACTGCACAACTGTTTATACAGAATAATCTAATCTAAAACTAACTTATAAAAGGCTAATAATCTAATTTGGAAGGATAATACTCACGTCTTCTTCAATCAATCTAACCTTTACGATTACTCATGGAGAACAATGTTACAACTTCACCTTCCCATGAAAGTCACTGAAGAGGACACTTACGATGTGACGTTGAAAGCTGTAGAGATTAAAATTAAAAAGCAACAATCCCATATAACACTGGGAGAATAAAAAGAAGGGCACACCTTTGATTTTCTGAACATGTACCGAAAAGCCTACATTTGGAGGGAGCAAACGCCTAACAATAGTGCTATTACCAGGCATTTCCTTTATACGGGTCACGAGGTGGAAATTGAAAATTCCAATAAAATTGTCAATAGACAGAAAAGCTCAATCTCCGTCAAGTTTACCGAAGCGATCTGTACGATACGCCTGAAACTCGATTTTTGTGTTCAGAAAGAAGAAGTCATCAGTCTTTCCTTGCTTTGGGAAGTGGACATCTTTATCCTCACTTCCATTTGACTACGTAATCTTTGGCTTTAACCTAATCTCCCTTTGATATAGTGTAATCTATCTGGTCTCTTGTTTCTATGATTTGAGTTGAACTCAGTACATTGTTACCCAATTAATTAGTTACTCATCATCTAACGCACCTCTCGTCTGTATTACATAACTCCTCTTCCATGGTGTGCATACATTTAATTTGTTTAAACTTGAACTCCCTGTATAAAAACTATATAAGCGCAATTTTCTAGCACTATTCACTAAGTTTGGAACTTCCTGTCAACTGACATCATATAAAATTTGCAAGTATGCTAAAACTTTTCTGTACATGAACTTAATAATAATTTATTTAGGCTGTAAGCAGCCGCTGATGAGAAGCCATCAAAATAAATGATGGTACCATATTATTCTGCACAAACCACTGTTGTTCTTGCTTTATTCAAATTCATAAAGGAGAATAAATGTATGAAATATTCCTAAAACATTATTTAAATGTGGCGTCGGTGGCACAGAGATAGAATGCTCGCCAATCACACATGTGGTCCGGGGTTCGATTCTCGGCCACCAATGCACTCCTTCACCTTGCTAAGTCAGTAACAAGACTGGTAAAGAGGAAAGATTGTACGTGTGAGGCTAGCAACCCCATCCCGTTAAAAAGCTTCTAGTTTGAAGCCCTATGTTCCACTGGGAACGTAAAGGAATATAAAAGAAATTATTTAAATGTACTCCTTTCACTCTTCTAATGTATATCTGTCACTGTTGTTTGTTTCATTTTTATTGTTTTTTCAAAGACAACTAAATTAGTCAATGCTATGACATTAGGGTAACTAATGAATATTTTAGACTGATAAAATCTTCAATTGATTTATTAGGGATCGTTAGTTGTAAACTTGTTCACATTGGTTCAAAGGCTGTAACAGTATCTACTATCTATTGAAATTCTTATCAGTGGAATGGCCTTCAACACTTCCTTTTAACCTCTACTCTCATAATCCTTTTGTATACTTTCTTGATTTCATCTGTATTATTTTGTGTCATGTGACATATTGAGCCGGCATTGGTTAGAGAGGTGAAGGGAATTCTAATTGCAGGCACCAGTGAGGGTAGCGCTATATCATCAACTCAGAAAGTTAGAATCCGCGGCTTATTGGATTCCGGCCAAAATGGTTGAATAATAATCAGTGATCTGGATATTGCTACCTGTAGGTCCCGGCTTCGATCCCTAAAGGGGTATTCGAGCGCACTGCCGAAGAGTTCCAACCTAGGGCAAAACAGCAGTCTAGTACTTCCTGGTTGTCGCACTGTAGTGTAGTATCTTGATGGTATGTGAAACACAGAACACTTGTGAATATTATTCGAGAAGTAGATTAACACAAGAGAAAGGAATTCATTGTGTTGATATTTTCAAAAGGAGATATCGACAAGATAAAATTATTTCTAAAGATTCTAATTACCATATGCTTTTATAAGTCTTACAAGTATACAGTACAGCTCACTAACTTGTACACTAGCATACTTGTTAATAGTTAACATGTAATAAATGTGTAATCGTAAATTTTCAAGGGATTTTCAAATTATTGGCCTAATATGCATTTTGCGCATAGATTGCTACTTGACGCGTTGTAGAAGACATGGGAGCACCTATGTATGAAGCTTTATTTCCGATCTATGTTTTTTTTTTTGTATTTTACTAATAATCCATTCACACTTGATCAGTCTACCACTAATGAGATTCAGCGACTTTACCCACTTGGTCGAACATTATTTAAATCAATGCTAGACTCTTCTACTTATTATTATTGTTATTGTTTCATCCCTTTGCTCATCGAGTGGATCATAGAGCTTTAGGCTTTGAAGTCTTGGTAGCTGCTGTGGTGTTTTTTTTAACGCGATGGGGTTATTAACCTCACGTTCAATCTTTCCTCTTTTCCAGACTTATTATTAGCTAGTTAAAATAACAAGGTTAAGAGTCGAACTCCGGACCACATACATGATAAGCAAACATTCTGCCGTTGAACCTCTGATACAAATGTTAGATAGTTAGAGATAATTTATAGGAAGCTCTGGACCTTTGGTTTTGTGTATACTGACACTCATCAGCAAGGTTTATCTGCAACCTCGAAGAAAATGATATCCTCTCTAAGATTCAAACCCGCGCCAACCAGTACCTCAGTCAGAAGCGTTAAAATTTCACAGAGGAGATCAGTTTCTTCCAGGCTATAGATACGTCTAGCTGTGGTGAGCGCCAGCCTGCAGAACTTCCTACTCATTGCTGCTACAGAGAGTCACCTAGCTTGGCTGAGTACATTACAAACATGACTGACAAAATCCAAAACACTAAATACATAACATTGCTTCTATACCAGTCAATTAATATTCGAATGAATTGAAATGAGGTGATTGTAGCAGCATTTATGTTGTATACTTTAGGTTAAAAACATGATCACGTCTATTTTCTTAAAAAATCGGTGATTACAACTTAAAAATTCAATCATGTTGATTTCTGTTGTAAACATTGGACACAGTGATCATGTTTACGCTTTGTATAAATTTGTATAAATCCCTTACAGCAACAATTCTTAAATTATTCGGGTTTTTTTGTTGTTGTTAACAAGACGAAGTACATAAGTACCATTTACGTATGATAACCTGCGTAACTACTATACATACTGAACAAGTTTCATATAGTAGGATTAGTAGTGCTAACTAGTACTTTTACACCATGTAAATAATTATTTTAAAAAAATATTTTGTTTGAACATTAGTTAGAGTTGTTCATGTTTTAGTGGGATTAATAGTGTTGTTGGATTTTATCTAAGAGAATTTTGTTGGCTATAATATTTTTTAATGGAAAGTGTTGGTATAAAGAAAGGTGACAGTTAGCATACTTTTCGTGATTACTTATCTATCGTGTTATAAACTCTTTTGACCTGAATAATGCCTTAGAAAGGGTTCTTCTTCGCCTTCTTATACTCTTTTGCGGTCCATGTCCTCATAGAGGTCTTATTTAATTGACCTTTGATATGTCACAGGATTTCATCATGAAGTGACATCAATTAGAGAACCATTGGAAGACCTGCAGGGAGTACTCGCATCTGTTTTGTCCTAGTTTGGGACTTTCCGGCACTATACACACACCGGGGTTCTAACTCAGGACTTTCTGATTACAAGGTTAGCGAACTCGTATCCCATTAAGCCACTGAGACCCGATCCAATGGCCAGTCTATGAATTCTAACTTCTACCAACTCACGACATAGTACAACCGCTAGCCAATGTTTTCGGCGAGTATTTGTCCTCACACCCGACTTGCTGCACTCTACTGGTCACGACTTCCCACTAGAACCGCAGATAACTACCTACCTGAGTAGGCCCAGTCGCCAGTGAGCATCTCATCGATATTCAATCAATCAAATCCCTACAAACCAGTGTTTGAACTCTGAACTCTGTTTTGTTTGAAATGGGAGTATCAGTATGCCGTCGGCTACTACTACTGCTACTAAGAGTAGTAATACTGCCATCACTCCCAAAATATTCATACTCGAAATTCTGAAGATTCATAATTCGATTTTTGATTAGAGATACCCATTAAAAATTTTAAAAGACTGATTAGTGAACAAAGAATATTGTTTTCGATAGCTTCTTCATCAAGTTCTACATTTATATGAGTATCACAGACACAGACCTAAATATTATCTTCCAGAAGTCCTCCATCTGAAAATCTATTAAAAAGGGGAGGTTTTAGAACTAATTAATTATCATTATTAGCAGTAACGCCATAATTGATGCAGTCAATCAGATATTGGTTTTTTTTTCATCAGTGGTTTAAATTTCCCTTGATGTGTAAAGGATAATTTACTCTGGATTGTGAATAATAAAGTTGCCGTTCGAGTATTGGTTTGTAGAGATTTGATTGATTGAATATCGATGAGATGCTCACTGGCGACTGGCCCTATTCAGGTAGGTAGTTACCTGCGGTTCTAGTGGGAAGTCATGACCAGTAGGCTGCAGCAGGTGGGGTGTGAGGACAAATACTCGCCGAAGACATTGGCTAGCAGTCGCACTATGTCGTGAGTTGGTAGAAGTTAGAATTCATAGACTGGCCATTGGATCGGTTACCAGTGGCTTAATGGTCTACGAGCTCGCTAACCTTGTAATCAGAAGGTCCTGGGTCAGAACCCCAGTGTGTGTGTGTAGTGCCGGAGAGTCCCAAATTAGGACGAGACAGTTGGTTATCCAGTACTCACTGTTCGTTTTCCAATGGTTCTCTAGCGAATTTTATTTATTTTTTATTTCAGCTCATGATGAAAGTTGTCGTCGTTGTTTTCACAGTTCTCCCAGTTAAACCTGACTTCTATGTATACCTCAGTGTAAGGCAACATTTCCAAGTGATCGGTTTGCTACAGCGCGCCGTGATTGAAGGCTCGTTCTAGTCTGCATTGCGAATAATAAGGTTGTCACTGTTTTTGTTGCAGAATAATCCTGCAAGGGAGTGTTTAGTGTTTTTGTTGTTGTTGTCTATGCTTGACTAGAATGAGCCCTCTGTCACGATGCTGTAGCCAACTGACCACTTGGAAATATTCCCTCACACTGAGGTAGACAATGAAATCAGATTTAACTGTGACAACTGCGACAACAACAACGAAAACTTTATTATTCACAATCCAGAGTATATTATCCTTTACACTTCAGGGGATATTTAAACCGCTGATAAAAAAAATCAATATCTGATTGATTGTATGAATCATGACGTTACGACTAATCATGACAATTAGTTCGTCCTAACAATGACCATAATATTTCCATGTATTGGTTTGTAGGAATATGATTGATTGGTGGCCACAGGATTTCATCATGAGCTGACATCAGTTAGGGAACCAATGGAAAACCATCTGGAAGTACTGGACAACTGTTTCGTCCTAGTTTGGGACTCTTCACAGCACGCATCCACATCGTGGGGTTCGAATTTGGGACCTTCTGGTTACAAGGCGAGCTAGCTCGTAGATCATTAAGCTATAAGAATTAAAGAAGTATTGCTATTAACAACATTAATGTTGTTTTAACTAACAGTGAATCAATAATATTGTGAAATTACAGTTCTAAAGCATCTGTAGGTGATAATATGCATCAACACAATACTAAACTAGCCATCAGATAATTTAAGGAAGGTAATACAGAATTTATGAATTTACAAGTTCCACAGCAGGCCAGGGTGATAATAATGTTACCTGTTTCTTTCTCACTCAGAGCTCGGTTGTTTTAATGGATTTTCAATGCATTCGATAATTTATTCGGTACCCGACAGGGCTGACAGAAAAAGACTCTTCTATGTTATCTTTGTGGTCTGTTTGAATGGAGTGATCTATTATAGAAGTGTTGATCGTTTTAACAACACTTTTATTTAGCCATAGTGGCAAGTATTCCCCTAAAACATGAAAATATAAGTTCCTAGAACAACTGTCAAAATAACTAGCTCTACAAGAGTAGTTGAATTGATTGATGCAATAAGAGGTGGGTAGCCTAGGTACTTCGTCTTTCAGTTTCGGAATGATAAACAGTCATGTGGAAAATGTGGGTTGCAACTTACCAGACTTACAAGTTATTATTTCGCTTGATAGATCACTTTTGAATTGCAGTCTTATATACAGAGAGTGCCTATTATCACATACAGGCCTATTTGAATTGCAATCTACTAATATTTTTGATTCAGTTGTATTTATAACTTTAATGTTGTTAATAACAATAATTCTTCGAATAGTATGGTGCATATAACTGTACGATCTGATGAAGACTTCATCGGAAAAAAATATTCTTTGTTCACGAATTAGTCTTTAAAAATTCCATCGTTAATTATGATTGTATCAATAACAAGAGAATGCACTTCATCATTTCATTGAGACTTTTCATCACAAATGTAATTTTAAACATATGAAAACTAGGGGAACGGGGGAGAAATTTCACCTCAATGGGATGATTTCGGTTGCTTCATTTTTTTGAGCTGGTCGATTCGATTGCAGTTCTCATTGTCACGCTAAAAAAACATTACCACTATTTTGAAAATAAAACTAACAATATACGTTTCTTCTCAGCGTGGTGTAATAGTTTCCCTTTGTAGCTGTGTGCGCGCGCGCGCTCGCGATTGTTTCTATAGTCACCAAAAATTGATTTTCAAGTTTTGGTTTACACGGATTTGATTGTTTTCAAGACTGATCATGAATTCACTTCAGTTAGAGGATTACTATTTCCTTCTTGTTTTGGCAGTGTCCACTCTCTACCGCACTAGGGATCATACCCGCCGACCTTCAGGTTACAAGGAAAGCCTATTGACTATTCAGCCACTGGGATGTTTTTCAATGGTTCTCTAACTGAAGTCAATTCGAGATCAATCTTGAAAACTATCGAATCCCCGAAAAGCAACACTTAGAAATTAATCCAGTGCTCATTTATTGACTCACTACAGGATTAAGTTGTCTGACGTTCTCATAGGAAGTGGTGGTCCACGGGATCCACCAATTTGGGCGTGAGCACAGTTACTCACAGGTGATATTGGCTGGCAGAAGCTGTATGTCACGAATTCGCAGAAGTTACAGTTGATAGGTCATTGGATTCCGTCCGAATGGATGAACCGAATACAAGTTGGCCTTGCAACCTGTAGAAATCGATTTGTCGATGTTTTAATGTGTAATAAGTTAACCTATTTGTTTAAGTAACTGATAAATCCTCATTAGATAGCTTATTACTGAGAACATTCTTAGATATTATAGGCTTGCAAACTCTTGACATGATGCGGAAAATACACTTCGTTACTGTAACAGCATTTTGGAACATTAATGTAGGAGTAACATTCGGGCACTATAGTAGAATATAATTCCCTAATAGATAAGCTTATATGAAATGACACACATTCAGTTTTTAATAGTGTATCATGGTGTGTGTGTGTGTCTGTCTGCGTCTGTGGTTCAGTAGTCCGGTACTTCATCCTTGGCTGGCTTACACCTTAACCTCGCTTAGCTGACAGTAAGTCTAGTAAAGAGGAAAGTTTGAGTGTGAGGTTAGGAACCTCACACCGCAAAAAATAACTACCGCCACTACTGAAACTCCAGTGCTCATGCTTCCACTAGGATCGCAAAAGAATGATATTAATAAATAAAATGGAAGCATTTGAAACGTACTATGATTTAGAAAATAACTTACCTTTCTTCCGTTATGGATTTATATAAGTAATTTTCGAAAGCCCTATTTGAACTGCATAATATGAACAGAAACGTTACAATAAGTACTGGATATAGAACAAGAATTTAAAACAAGCAATAAAGGTTAATAAAGCAGGATTTAATGAATTCATCAAATTTCGGTAGAACTCGTCAGCTGAATACTCTACATACACGAATATATATACTTTTGAAATTACATAGGGAGATATAAGACTGATAAGTAAACAAACTACATTGAATTAATCATGCAGAGAGACAGGTGCGAATATTTTCCAGGTCATGTTCAAATAGATAAGGGGAGAGAGAGAGTATGAGAGATCAAAATTAAGATAAATTGCATTACGCTTCAATTACATCACTTAGATAAACAATAGTCATTAGGGAATATAACGAGAATTGCAAACAGACTAATATCTATAGTAATAGTTTTAATAACAATAATAATAGTGTTGAAGTGAGTTAAGATAATCTTACGGATAAAGCATAGATTTAAATGAATCAATAATAATAATGATAGTAATAATAACAAAAATAATAATAAGAAGAGGTAGAATAATAGTAATAACAAGTAGAGAATAATAAGTAAAGCGTATTACCATGGTAGTTCAGAGTGACGACCATCTCCTTTTGTATACAGAGGGCTGTTTGTAAATTCGAATTGCAGCCTACTAAGACGTTATTCAGTTGATATTTCAAGTTCGCTGTTCCCAGATCTAGTCATCACATGATGACGGATCATAAGTACATGAATTCGCCTCTGATCCTATTTTTTCTACCTCTTTAAGTTATTTACGCCTACTTAATTCAACTACCACGACAAATGAAGTAGGTTCTGCACATTTCTGTTATCTCCTTAAATCAAAGAGTTATCAATTCCTTGTGTGTCATCTTTTGCTACCAATAAATAGGATGGATACATATATTTCATTTCTTTGCGTTCCGATTGAAACGTAGAGCTTCAAGAGTGAGTCTTGAAGTTTCAGTAGCAATGGTACTAATTCCACGGAGTTGGGTTGTCCACCTCACATATAGAAGTGAGTCGGCCGGTAATCGAACTCGGATCATGTGTGTGGTTGACGCGAAATCTACCACTGAACAATGTTCAACTTGTCGATCGCAGCTTCTACCTACGACCACAGTTCACCCCTGGCTATACTATTAGTTTAAGTTATAATCACTGAGGAACTTGGTCACTAATGTAACATCATACGATAAAGCCCGCTGGTTCGGCAATGCAATCAACGGAGTATTATTTCACTTTCAAGAAAACTGCCTTTCTACCTTGAATACAGCCGAGAAGTGGTGCACCGACTAATACTGAGCTTAATATATCTAACGTAGAAAGCTAATTTAACTTGAATATTTACTTATTTCAAGGTGTGTTTGTAAACACAACTTACAGTAACTGTAATTATATAGTTTTATTATATATATCTTGTAAGTTAACGCCTTTTCTGATAAATATATATGTATATTGATACTCTGTTGATTTATGCTTCTCAAACAGAAAGAGAAGCGCATATGTATGTACCACTCGTTTTCTATAAATTTACAACTTATTTCTAAACTTCTTGTATATTCATTCACTTTATTGATTTTGCAGTTCCACTCAGTCTAAATTCTCTCATCTCTTTTCTTTTTTTTTAAAAAAACTAAATATAGATGCGCAGAAAATTGTGCACGTTGTGTCGGCTCAAAGTCAGATGAATGCCGTGAATGTTATCCTGGTTTCCGATTAATTCATGGAAGATGTGTTGATAGTACATCGGCTGATGGTCGTTGTAAACCAGGTTAGTTGATGGCTGACGTTTTTCTTTTTTTCATTGTGATGCTTTAAATTAACAGCTGTACGTCGGTGGCACAGCGGTTAGGACGCCCGCCGACCATGGACATGGTTCGGGGTTCGATCCCCGGCCACCGACACACTCCTTTTCCTCGCTAAGCCAGAAATAATGCTGGTGAAGAGGAAAGGTTGGGCATGAGGCTAGGAACCCCATCCTGTAAAAATAACCACCAGTACTACAGGAACTTCAAGCCACTAGCTTGAGACCCTATGTTCCACTGGGAACGTGAAGGAATAAAACAAAGAAAATTAACAGTTGTATATGGTGACACTTTCTATTGACCAGGCAGTCAGTAAGTAGTGATTTAGCGTTTAACTCGAAGGAAAATGATCAGCCCAACGGTAATTTATTGATAAATTACTGTAAAATGTTGAGCTCAACAACGGTTTTGCAAGACAATAAGGTATTTCCAGTCTTTACTTATGCTCAACAAATATGCTGAAGAAAACCGAGGTGGATCAGATGTACGCTGAGGAGACAGTCGAATGATATCAAGCGCCAGGCCGTCAAGTGGAACCCGAATGAGAAACAACGAGTAAGGTGTTCCAAGGTGACATGGAAGAGATCGTGCTAGGGGGAGATAAGAGAATATATTCAATCGTGGGTTAGCCAAAGAGGATTGTGGAGAATACGACAATTGGATAAGTGTTGTTGAAGCCCTATGTTCCACTCGCAACTCAAGGGAACAATAATAATAATAGTAGTCTTTTCTTTGACTATCTGATTGCTATAACTATTTGTCGTACTACTTAAACAGATTAATTTACAGATAACTCTCTCGAACAACATTTCAAGCTGAATATACTGATGTTTTTTCAACTCCAATGTAAAGTCAGTGCTACTATCCGGATGGATCAGAGACTTGGCGCGTCATAAAGAGTACCTCAAACAAATTACAGACCTTCATTAACAGCTGTCTTCGCTCAATACTCAAGATCAGATGACCCTCCAGAAAACATCAGCAACATGGATCTCTGGGAACAAATCAACCAGTAACCGATTGTGTAACTAATAAGCAGGAATAAATGGAGATGGATTGGCCATACTCTGAGGAAACAGACCATCAAGTGAAACCACACGACAGGCCATCACTCGAGTGGAACCCGAATGGGAAGCGGCGAGTCGGTCGTTAGTGTGAGGGTGACTTGGAGGAGGTCATGTGAAGAGGAGATGAAAGCATGTGAGCAGACTTGGAGTCAGGTGAAAACTTTGGCAGAGAACCGAACACATTGGAGATGTGTGGCAGAAGCCCTATGTTCCTCTAGGAATTAAAGGAAATAATAACAATACTGATGTTTAAAGTCTGTACATAGATGTGATAGTTGATACAACTTACCATTGTGCCGCATTATTGTTAATTTTAAGAGTTATGTCAAATGTTAACAAACAGTGAACTAAATTTTGATCAGTTACCACCCTCACTTACATGTATACAGGTTAGATCTTTCAGTCAAAGTGAGAAGAATATGGAAGATACTTTTTGTTAAACAGTGGAAAGTCTTAAGAAGCATACAGAAACGAATAACTGATTTCATTTTAGGATTTCATCATGAACTGGCATCGGTTAGAGGATCATTGGAAAACCTGGAATACTTGACATGTGTTTCATCCTGATCTGGGACTCTTCATCAGTACAGAATCACTGAGGTTAGAATCTAGGACCTTCTGGTTACAAGGCGAACACGTAGACAATTGAGCAACTGGGAATCGATTCAATCGCCCATAAATTCTGACTTCTGCCAACTTCTTATATAGCGTGACCACTATTTATTGTAATTACTGGCGAGTATTTGTCCTCACACCCGAATTTCTGTACCCCACTGACCACGACTTCTCATTAAAACTCAGAGAGCTACGTATCTGAATAGGACCAGTCACTAGTGAGCATTAGATTGATATTCAAGTGTTGGTTTGCAGGGATTTGATTGGTTTCGGTGTTTCAAGGTGAACTGATATCGATTAGGGGTCCATTGGGAAACCTGGGAGTACTTTTAATCGTAAATAAGTGAAGCTTACTAGTTTGTTAGTTCACTAGTCGGCTTTAAGCCTGAAAAAGAAGGAAGGCTGGGCGTAAGACTGATGACCCTACCATGCAAAATCAATCCAATCGCTACAGAAACTTAAAACAGAAAAATAATTCAGAGAAAGTTATTCTTCACTAGGAACAGAGAGACAAAACGACGCTGGTTGGTGAAAGCCTTTGGGAAACCAATCCACTGACATGTATTCTTTCGAAGAAAGCGAAAATTAGCATACGCACATGGTGTGTCCACACGATGTTTGAAGCTTGGAAGGCTGCTCAGATTGCAAAAGAAACGTGATAATATAGCTTAGAAGTGCTAGGAATCTATAAGAATGAAATATAATGTAAGTAGGACTCTCTAAATCGTTAGTTTGAGAGACAATAATCTACTCCAGTCACCTAGACGACAACCACTGGCGCACTGGAGATGTCACTATCATGATGTCATCGACATGTATCGAAGGCTCTTATGCTGTAGGAATGAGCTTCCATAAGGATTATGATAACGAGATTCGATTCAAGAGATAGTAAAGTTACAATTGTCTAATCCTAAGCTCCTGAAAACAACGCAGACCAAGAGATGATTGGAGACTTCTGCAGACAACTGCAAACAGTAGCGAACAAGACCCTAGTTAGATGGTGACATTAAAATTCTAATAAGTGAAATGAATCCCGGTCAAACTGGAGTCAGACAATACAAGAAGAGAGCTTATTAGGGTCGAGAAGCTCTTAGAGAAATGAATGAGAGCGGAGGACTACGAATAAAATCAGAACCGAATTTTTCATGTCATAAAAAAGTTGAAGAAAATACAACTGGATCACAGTAGAACTCACATCCGTGATCTTCGCTTTCTTATCTACCAAATTATTATATTATTGTATTATTATTATTATTATTATTATTATTATTATTCCTACCAAATAAGACAAAAGACCCAGGTACTTATCATTTCATGGAAGAATAAAACTTGTGCACTGTGGTAGAGTGTAATTCTATTGTGAGTAAATTCTGTTTTGATAAAGTCTCACAGTGTTATACAGTAATGTTTACTGATGACCACGTTTCGAGCACAATTTATTGCTCATAATCATATCAAGGTACTCACACGACTTCCTAACTTCATTTATATAGTTCCATTATTTTTCACTTGATTTGACTGGTAGTAGTAGTGTCCATATTTCAGGTATGGGTGATGAATCATTCCTGAAATATGGACACTACTACTACCAGTCAAATCAAGTGAAAAATAATGGAACTATATAAATGAAGTTAGGAAGTCGTGTGATTACCTTGATATGATTATGAGTGGCAATAAATTGTGCTCGAAACGTGGTCATCAGTAAACATTACTGTATAACACTGTGAGACTTTATCAAAACAAAATTTACACATAATGGAACTTACCATTTCACTTGTAAAAGCAGAAGACAAAACACTGAAGCCAGGGTATATTTTCCAGTGATCAAGCCACTATACACATATATACGATTTTATATCCTTTAACTAATCACTGAGCGTGTGATTTTGGTTTACATTGAACAACGATAAGAAATAGAATGTTCAGATATACATGGTATTCTCCTGCTAACTCAGTGGTGAACTGCAGGAATATGTGAATTAATATTCCGTTGGACACATTGTCTGGATCACACCACCACACACGTATGTATAAAGTTTTTCCAGGCACTGTGAAAATGAGGAGTACATAAATGTCCATACGTCATCATCAAACTAGGTGACCAACCAGGTTTTCTCATCCAACTCTAAATTACTGGATGATTTTTTTTATTCAACTGTCTAGTTATAGCACTTCGACGTGTTGTAAAGGCTTTGGGATTTAATCGCAGAAGTTCCAAGTTAGCGCCTCAAGGATTGAAATCTAGACTTTTCTTTCGGATTCACTAATCCCTTTCCTAAAAGTAACCAGCTTCCTAAACCAAGTTTATCTCAAACGATCTAGTCAATCAACTGGATCAATAATACAAATCAACTGTCGTCAAAATTTGACAGAATAGTTCTAAAATATTTGAGTGCCGAGTGAGAAGTAGACATTTGTAAAAAATTATATTTGTAATATCTCAGCGAGATTGAAATGATTAATTCCAATGTTTCGTTCGGCAATCTGGTCCGAACTTCTGAGAAATTCATTGAGATTAACATACAACAGAGGTTTATATGTATAAAAGGAATATCTCTTGTTTTTAAAAACTTTGTCCAATCATCAGTCATAAAACAAGTATCAACAAGTATAATAAACCAAATTGTATGAGTTGTGATCAAAATTTGACCTTGAACTTACAAATATTGGTCTACCTTTGTTAAATACTTTAAACACAGTGTGTATGTGTGTGGGTAAACAGCTGTAAAATAATTTCTTAACGTCTCCATAAGAAGCTATAGGCAGTCGGGAATTTTGACCAAGTATTATTAATTAGTGATACATATCCATTTTTATTTATTAATTAATCAGGATTTCCTATGCATCAGCTAACATCACACCTTTAAGTCTGTTCAAACTGTTAGTATCTAGAATTTTATGATTAGACGTATTTTTAAAATTATGGTGTTTAGGATTAGAGTTTAGTTGAAGCATCCTGTCGAACTTATTGCTTTGTCTTCTTTTGAAGATTCAGCTGCTTTATTCGACCTACTGGAGTTGTCAGGTGACTCGACAGCTACGATTTAGGATACGCATTCTGTTGCAGACAACGGAGGAGAGTGAAAACACGATGATGTTCCTTTTATATATAAACCTCTGTTGTATGTTAATCTCGATTAATTTCTCTGAAGAAGTTCGGACCAGATTACCGAACGAAACGTTGGAATTAATCATTTCAATCTCGCTGAGATTTACAAATATAATTTTTTACAAATGCCTGGATCAATAATAACTAAAATCTTTAAAATCTTTTGGTCTCATATTTTTACAACTTATTTGATTTCATGTATTAATAATTTGTTAGACAGAAATAATTGTCTTTTTGCTTTCTATTTCTCTTTTTTTCTTTTTTTTTTTAACAAAATTTTACCCCCAGGACAATATTTAAAACATTCCGAATGTGTAAATTGTCATCCATCCTGTGATAAAGCAGGTTGTGTTACTTCAAATCAGTGTAATTGGTGCCCGAGTCATTTACCGTAAGTTCAAATGAGTTGCAAATTCCTATTGATTTATATTTCTGTTTATTTTCTAGCTGTCTTATGCGTTTGTGATGTGATAGTAAAGAATGATATGTTGAACAGCATTACCTCCTGAGATCACATCAATTATTGAAATTTCCTACACCCACAAATAATAATTTCATTTCAATGTATAGTTCATCATGAACCAGCATCAGTGAGAAGATCATTGAAGACCAAGAAGCATTGGATAGATGCTATTTCCTAGGTAGGGATTCTTTGACAGTGCTCACTGACGAATCCACCAAAAATCAAGTCCTGGACTTTCAGGTTAAGAGGTTGAACCGGCTCGTTGACCATCCAGTCACCCATTAATTTCGACCCTTGTCAATTCGTGATTTAACTCTCACTGGACTGATTGACTGGTGACTAGTGTCAACATAGAACTTTCCACCGAATGTGCAATATTTCAAGTCGTCACACTTCACTCAGCACACAGATCCAGAGAAGAAAGTAAAAAGAAATGCAAAATAGAGACAGTAAACAGAGATACGAGGCAAAAAGAATAGCAATATCGAAGAACAATATAGTTTTATTGGGCATTATAAGTCACAAGTTGTAGATGCATCTGCGCCAGACATTGAGAACGATGAGTTTGAGCTATATCACCAATCGTCTCCAGCTTTCATTGGTGTTTACCGTCCCGAGAACCTCAACCAGGAAATCTCCATCTTTCTACGTGACTGGCTTAAACTAACTGTTTTGGATTTCATTGACTGAAGAAGCCATGTTTTGGTTTGACCATCACTGGCTCTTTTCCAACCTGCCCCTATGTCAGCTAACATTGCCCGTCGAGGAAGGCGATGGCTCGGTGTATGCGTAACATATGTCCTAACCATCTCAGTCGATGTAGCTTCACAGCCTCATCTATTGATTTCCCTTCTTTACCTAGCACTCAAGCGATGCCTAACCTCATTATTGTTCCCCCTATTATACCATTTCACATAGGAGATGGAACACAGGCACCTATGATCAAAGACGACTAGCTAGATTTAACACTACTTTTAACCAGTGCTATTCATCAATATTCACTTCACCTTGTCATCGTAGACCCCACTGGCCACGACTTCCCACTACAACTTTGGGAGCATCTCTTCTTAGATTTATGGTTTTTGTAGGGATTCGGATTAGTTTCATCTTAATCTTCATCAGGAACCAACATCAGTGAAAGAATTCATTGAATCGTTCATCCCAAAATGTGCAAACTTACCATGGATATTCTAAATAAAAAACAAGTTTAGACTAGCCAGTAGAAGTCACACTTATTTTTTTGACTTGACTTAATAATTCAACGTATAAAAATTAGAACGAAAATGTTGATTCATTGTTTAATTCAAATCAGTATGTTTCATTCTAACCAATAATCTAATCGCCTCCCAACTAAGCTACAACACTTAGTCATACATATTGTGTAGGCTGGGTAGTTAGAATTTGATGAAACCTGTCAACATTAATTTTTAATGAAACATATGTGGGATAGTTTTTGACAAGTATAGTAAACACCACACTTCCTCCGCTTGATATTACTGATCACATGGTAGGCTAGACAGAATAAACAACTAGGAATAATCTGCTTTGGAGAGAACCAGCCAACTAACTTATCTCTGAATAAATATTCAGAAGGAAATAGAGATGAATTGGAGATATGCTGAAGAGACCTTCAAATGACGTCACACACCGGGCGGGTTGTTCAGGGAAACCACGAATCGCAAGTGATGGGTTGAGAATCTAAACGTGACATGTGGAAAAGTATGTTGATAGTAGGTGGACTGAGTGCGACTGAGATACATCGCTGAAGCTGTATATTCCACTTGGGATTCAAGGAATGCATCTTAATTACAACAGAAAACACTATGATGAATAAAAATAACAGTGGCTTTATTCTGAACAGTGTTTATAATAATGTACAAGCATTTTCAGTGGAGTTCATTGCATGATATTTTCTACTCGTCTGTGATCTTCAAATAAAGTATTAATTACAGGATTTCATCATGAGCTGACATTGGTCAGAGAACCATTGGAAAACCTGGAAGTACTGGACAGCTGTTTATTCAGCCTAGTTTGTGACTCTTCAGCAGTACGCACTCACCTGTGGGGTTCGAAACCAGGACCTTCTGGTTACAAGGCGAGCTCGTAGACCATTAGGCCACTGGGACCCGATCCAATGGTCAGCTCCTGAATTCTAACTTCTGCCAATTCACGACATAGCGTGACCCCTAGCCAATGTCTTCGGCGAGTGTTTGTCCTCCCAACCTACCTGCTGCACCCTACTGGTCACGAATTCCCACTTGAACTACCTACCTGAATAGGGCCGGTCGCTAGTGAGCATCTCATTGTAATTCAAGTGTTGGATACGGGTCGCGTTATGCCGTGAATCGCCAGAATTTAGAATTCATGGACTGGTCATTGGATCGGGTCTCAGTGGTTTAATGGTATACGAGCTCGCCTTATAACCAGAAGGTCCTGGGTTCGAACCCGTAGGTGATTGCGTACTGCTGAAGAGTCACAAACTAGGCTGAATAAACAGCTGTCCAGTACTTCCAGGTTTTCAATGGTTCTTTGAGTAATGTCAGCTCATGATGAAATCCTGTAACCAATCAATCAAATTCCTACAGACCAGCACTTGAAAAGTATTATTTGACAGTAGATTGGGGACATAGTGTCATCTGACCTGAAGCACAAATCATTCCATTATGATCTCTCTTGTCTCCTTCGAGATATGCATGACATTCGGCTCAGAGTTGATTATAATACGTTCAGGAGTACATTTTGTGAACCGAGGACACAACTCAGGAACAGTTATCTCATGTACTGGGATAAGTTGCCATCCACCTGGAGTATGCTTTTTTTCTCAAGTTTAGTTTTTCTTTTATTCCTTTACGTTCCCAGTGGAACATAGGGTCCCTTCAAGCTAGAGACTTGAAGTTACTGTACCAGTGGTGTTTACTTTTACGGGATGGGGTTCCTAGCCTCATGCCCCACAACCTTCCCTCTTTATCAGTCTTATTACTGGCTTAGTGAGGTAAAGGAGTGCGTCGGTGGCTGGGGATCAACCCTTGGACCACATGTGCTGTTGGCGAGCATTCTTCTAACTCTGTGCCACCTACTCATTGGCGATGGGGATGGGATGCGAACCCATGTGGGGAAACGCCAATGGATTAGCGCTCCATTACTTACTAATCTGCGGGTTTTAAGTGTTTTAAATACTCATCAGAGTAATTAATAAATACCGTTAGAGGTTATATTTCACTAAATTTAAACAACCTGAACAAGAGAAATTATATGCAATATATTGATGGAGGTGTCCGGTAGCCTAAGTTGTTTTATGCAGTCTGCCCTGGTAGATATTGTGAGTCTCATCTGGAATTATCCATTGATGATTTCTACGTAACATATTGATTGATTTAATTGAATTTTAGATTTTCCCGTCGATTTATTGGACCGAAGCACTAAGTCTCAGGTTGACATGTCGGCTTCTTGTGCAGATGCTTCGACGATGTCTGAGCATTTAATTAGTATTTAGTTGATGGATGGTGACTAACAGTGGAATCCAGGATGCGCATTTCGTCCTATCCAATTAAATTAATATGACCCGTTGCACAAGAGGTGGCTCTCGTGGCCCAAGTGGTCTAGTGGATAATGCTTTGTCCGGTGTTTGAAACTATGGGCACTGGGTTCGAGCCTTGGTGGGAACGCCATCACTGGCTGGTGAATGCAGGTACATCCAGATGACGAGTCCCAAATAGGGCGAAATGCGCGTTGTCCTGGATTCCACTGCTAGTCACCATCCACCAATTAAATATTGATTGATTATTGTGATTTTGTAATGCACTGTTATCAAACTCGCATTAATGTCAAGAATTTACAGTTGAATATTATCCGTCCAAATAAAAACAAAATGTACTCACTTTCAACTTTTATTTGTTGTAGGAATTATTTCAATGGTACTTGTACAAAATCCTGTCCAGAAGGTTGGTATTCTGGTGTACAGATTCGACCTCCATTTCATTCAAATATACAAGATCAAGTTTCTTCTGTTGTTAAACAGCCATCAGTACAAATGTGTGAACCTTGTTCACCTGGTTGTCAAAAGTGTATTAATTTTAGTTTATGTGAGGTGTGCTTACCGTATTTAATGCTGCACAATGGTACTTGTATACTGCCGGAGGACAACACAACTAATGTTAACATCACGCCTACACTTGTTAATAAAAGTAATAGGTGAGTGTTTATTTCTAACATGTGTTGATATCATTACTGCATATCATGATATTCGTGTAGTCGATTTTTACCAAGATTTATACATAAGACATTCACGAATCATTTGTGAGTACTAAACGATGAATACCAAAATCTAGAAAATCCTTTTCTTTTGGTTACTGGATTTCATCATGAGCTGACCAGTAGGGTGCAGCAGGTCGGGTGTAAGGACAAATACTCGCCGAAGACATTGGCTAGTGGTCTCGCTATTTCATGAATTGCCAGAAGTTAGAATTCAGGAGCTGACCGTTGGATCGGGTCTCAGTGGCTTAATGGTCTACGAGCTCGCCTTGTAACCAGAAGGTTCTGGGTTCGAACCCCACAGGTGGTGCGTACTGCTGAAGAGTCACAAACTAGGCTGAATAAACAGCTGTCCAGTACTTCCAGGTTTTCCAATGGTTCTCTGACCAATGTCAGCTCATGATCAAATCCCGTAACCAATCAAATCCAACACTTGAATAGCTTTTCTTTTGTTGAGTAAAGGACAGTTTTGATTGGACACTAAGTAGTGGTGTACGTCCAATCCTTTGTTTGGTGTCAACTGAATTCTCTCAGTCGACTTGCAATATGGTCACCATGCTATTTGGCTAGCCACCACGGCACACTAAGAATTGTTATCAGATAGTTAGAGGTCATCGGCAGGAATCCTCGGACACCTAGGTTTTGTGCTTGTTCACACTCACCAGTCAGCAAGGCGTATCTGCGGTCTTGAAGGAACTCATACACACTGATGTCATCAATGATAACTGAAAATAATAATTAGACATTAGATCGTACCAGAACTTGAGTTATATGCCTTCTGAATGCTGGGACCTTGAACTCTACCAGCTGACCTTCAAAACCCATGGCAACTGTCACTTTTATTTTCCAAACGTTTGCGAATACTAGCTCTGGTGATGTTATTATTTCATGACATTTTTAGAAATATATCTAAATCTCAACTAATATTCTTAAAAGTAAGTGTTCAATTTTGTGAAATGCAAGGAGGATCCATGAATATTATGTGATGCTATTTTTTTCCTCTACGTTCCCCGCGAAACATAGGACTTTAAGATACAGGCTTGAAGTTTCAGTTACAGTGGCGTTTATTTTTACGAGATGGGGTTGCTAACCTCATGCCCAACCTTCCCTCCTTACCAGTCCTATTACTGGAATAGCGAGGTAAAGGAGTGCGTTGGCGGAGATTGGACCCCAGACCACCTAAATGGCTGGTGAGCATCTTTCAGCTGTGCCATCGACGCACACCTTGTGTATGATGCAGTGTACATAAATTGCAAGAGTTTTACAGGGTTCTGGTCAAACCTGCAACTTGAAATTTTAGAATGGCCACTTTAAATATTGCACTATATAGGTCGAATTTCTCAAGTCTTCTGACTAGCAGCGAAAAATTGTATTAACTGACAAAGTAATTTGTGGTAATGTGTATGTGAGTAGAATTTTCGATTGATAGTTGTTCCATGATTTGTATGATGATCGGGATGCTCCCTGAACTTCCAGACTGAAGAAAGTGGTTGTCTTAATGCATCACTACCCGATTTCTTAGCTTGAAATCTAATCCACAAGGTAGCAGAACAGCGTCAGGAACTGCGTTTCCATGTATACGCTATTCAGTCCTTTCTGAATGTGGAGTCCTTGTGCGTCATACGTTTGGAATCATGATTCTCCAGTCCCCCTCCCTTGGGTGGTCCTCCCTGTGCACCAGTCTAGTAACAAGCGCCTAACACTCGTATTCGTCCTTTTACTTTTGTGAAGAAAACTGCCACATTACATGAAAGCGCTGAATAGGAGTTATCTGACGGAGGCTATGAACGTTTTTCCATATAAAAGCATTTCGATGGGAGGGTCCTCGACAGTACCAGATCATTTATGGGAGTGAATTATATCTCTCGGTTGTAGTTAACCTAACTATCAGTTGAATTTCTCATCTGTTACGTAAACATTACTTTGTATGAAGCAAATATCATGTGGTCACTAACTAAATATGTAAGCTGAAAATTTAACTGTTCGTGTTACACTACTTATTTGTAAACTGTCTAACATTCTGTATCTACTAATAACAAAGCTTGAGGAGTTAAAAATCTCTGAAAAATAATACTAAGAATTATATAATTGTCTTTCTTAACCGAGTAACTTGTAGTCACTATTCCCATGAAAAGGAGGATCAATTTATGAACATGAAGGTATCATTTATGTATCCATTGATTAGGACAAAGCTACAAACCTCCTCTGGAAGAGTTAACAAACTCTCAAAAATATATGAAGAAATAGGTATGAGAGGAAAGAAAATTGGCGAATGATTGTTATTCAAAATTCTGAAAGTGATACACCATTACTATCGACCTTGTGATATATCATTCAAACTCTTCAACCATTCATTTGCAATATCTTAATAACCCAAGCTGAGCAGTCTGCTTAACTCAATCCAATACAGTATCTTTGCATAAAACTATATACTACTGACTGATTGAAATGAGTAGTTGCTGCCATTTATGCCAGCCAGTAGTGCTTACTTGTTAGCTAGATCGAGGCGATCTAAACACCGGACGATCGTTTCTCTCATTTGGTGCCAAGCTCATCAGTAGTGTGCCCTGTATTACTGAGCTCAGAGAGCCGAATCAGTTGAAACCATCCGATTTCTGGCTAGCTAGCTAGCTAGCTACTTGGGCGAACTGGTAATACAATAAATTAAGTAACTGTCTAGCATTGTGCTTTTGCTAACCATGTCGGATAATATTCAGAGATGCGTTTGGAAAGTGTGCGCTTTATGTAGCCAATATATAAATTCACCTGGTGATGTGGAGATAGTTATACTGGCGGCACAAAGTGAACACTTTCTGAACACATCTGTGAACATTATCCGGCATGGTTGGCAAAAGGACAATGCAAGTCTGTAGCTAGCTCAATCCCCGAGCACTTGGTGAACTCAAGCCACGTAGCTCCACCAGAATCGCCTTTCAAAATTGTTTACAAGGTAAGGCCAAATGGTACAAAGGGTGTTAGGTTTCGACAATTGTGTATGGCACAGGCGCTGGCAATTCGTCAATACAACGCCGAACTCTGCATACAGAAAATGTTTGTCCAGTATCTTATTCTACCATGGCGTTAACCTCTTCATGAGTCGTTCCCTGTAAAAAAATTTTATTTGCTTCGTCTCATCAAATCAGTGTTAGGAGAACGTGTTTCCCAGAAAGATAGTTTACCAAGCCAGACAAAGCCTAACATATCCAAATCATCACGTTCGGTAAAATAACATTAATCTTTAAAGTTCTTTGAAATGAATTGAGCATCATAAGAGACTTCACCAACTGAGTTCAAAATATCTCTCCAGAGACACTTGTAGCAACATGGCACGTAATGGGAGCTGGAGAGAATTCTCCCCTCTGCTCTGAGGTAGGCCATAGTATCATTACAATGAGTTAATTTGGATTTTCTAAATATTCAAACAGTGTCTGTGTATCCCATGTGGTAATACTTTTGCTTTTGTTAGCAGGAGTGAAATCATATCTAAGAGCCTGTCTTGTTTTACGACTGAAGACTTCATGTAGATTAGGTCCTGCCTTATGTAGGTCACTTTTTTTCTACTTTATGACAATGAGCACATTGCTGAACTAATAATTTTTGGCCTTTGTCAGCATTACCCTCGGAGAAAGGCATCGTAGCACACCTGCTGATAAAAGAAAAAAATAATCTGTTCTCAAGTGTTCATTTGGAGGAATTTAACTGATTTTAAGATATTTAATTGATGGATGGTGGCTAGCAGTGGAATCCAGGATAACGCGCATTTCGTCTTATTTGGGACTCGTCAGCTGGACGTACCTGAAATCCCCAGTGAGTGATGATGTTCCCACCAAGGCCCGAACGCAGTGCCCATAGTTTCAAACACCGGACAAAGCATTATCCACTAGGCCACTTGGGCCACGAGAGCCACCTCTTGTGCAACGAGTCATATTAATTTAATTGAACTTTTAGATTTTCCCGCCAATCGATTGGACCGAAGTGCTCGGTCTCAGATTGACATGTCGGCTTCAAGATAGATCACGATCTGATATCTATTACTCACTATAGGATAGTGTTGTCTGGAGTTCTAGTAGGAAATCGTGCCTAGTGATGTTACCAACTCGAGTATGTGGACAAACATTCGCCAATGATATTGACTGGAAGTTGGGCTAAATATTGCGAATTGGCAGAAGTTAGAATTGATGGACGATTGGATTACATCCCAGTAGCTGCTGGATGGTCAACGAGACCCTGGTGGTTTAAGAAGTGAGTACTGGTGAAGAGTCCGTGATTAGGACGAAACAGCTGTCCAGCACTCCTTAATGGTTTTCAATGGCTCCCTAACTGACCTTTATTCGTGAAGATAATGTGTAGTTTACAAGACGAAAATATTTTTTTTAATTCAATAAAATTAATGCAATTCTTTTTCTTTATTTGTAATAATTTTTTATTTTAGTCAAGTTAATAGTAAACTATTGGGTATACCATCAAATCAGTGTGGTTCTGTATCGTGTTCTACATGTTACGGAGGTATAAGAAAGAATTGTTTTCCTGTTCACGAGATTATTATTTACTCGAGATAACTCTTTTCAATGCTCTTCAAAATGTTGATATATTCAATGGAAATTCGATTATTATTAATAATAACAATAAAAATAATAAGAATAATAATAATATCTCCTCCACAACTGCATTGTCTTCTTCCTCATTATCAACTTCATCAACTTCCTCTTCACCTTCAACAACAACAACACAGCTAAATCAAATACATTATCCAGTCAACAACATATCATCAGTATACACTGACACTAGTATAACTGAATTGACTCCCTTGATGTCAACAACAAAATCTATGCCTACAGATACGAGTACTACTTCAACGACGAGGACACCGACGTCGACTACTACTCTTACAACTACAGACGACAATGTAGTAAAAAGTTTCTCCTTATTGAAGAGAACAATGAAGAACAAAGGTGTACTTATATCAAGACGTTTTGTAGTACATACTAATAGTGTTAACAATCATATTTCTAATAGTCTTAATTTATCTTATCCTAAATTTATTTGTGTACATATTTGTCCTACGGGATATTATGTAAAAAGGATATCAGTTGGTGAAAATGAAATCACGATGTGCTCTAAATGCCCTCCATCGTGTTCCAGTTGTACAGGTAATTTTTTTTTCCATTTTACATAACTATTAATGAAATGATAATAATAATAATAATATCAAGAAAGTTATATGATAGTCATTTAGCTCACAACTCGATAATTTATGTTTCTTTCGTATTTACAAGAAGTTGACTGTTGTTCGAAAGATAGATAGAAGATAGCAGGTGTAGTATCATCTGATATTAATCACTGGATGTCTTTGTTTCATTTTCTTTTGACTGTTCTGAGGGAAATATAAAGCTTCAAGCTTTGAAGTTTCAGTAGCAGATGTGTTGCTAACATCACTGACTGACTGGGTTTCGGCATACAACTTAGCACAAGAGAATCGTTTCAACTACAGCTCACAGAACAGATGAAGATATCAAAGCTAGCTAGAATTGCAAAGGCAAGATAGGCCTTCATCAACTTGAAACCAGTTTGGAAATCTTCTTCTACACTCAGTATAAGCAACGAAATACGGATTTTCAAAACCAATGTCAAGTCGGTCCTTCTATACGGGTCAGAAAATTGGTATGTCGCAAAAAGGATTTCCAACAGATTACAGAATTTCATCAACAGCTTCATTCGTTGGCCCCATACTGAAGATCAAATAGCTAGAAAGAATAAGCAATAAGAAACTGTGGGAATAAACCAACCAAGAGCCGATTGCTCAACAGTTGTGTGGATAAAAATGGACATGGATCAGGTATATACTAAGGAGATCATTGAATGACATTGCGTGCCACGCCCTAAGGTGACATAGAGGAGGTCGTGTGAAGAGGAGATGAGAGGGTGTGGTCAATCATGGTCCATGCTGAAAAGGACTGCATAAGATAGGACAAAGTGGATTTGTGTTGTTGAAGCCCTATGTTCCACTCGGAACCCAAGAGAACAATAATAATAATAATAATAACAATACAGTGTTTCACCTTGCCACACTCTCTGCCTAAATTAAAGAAAAAAGAAATGCGAAAGAAATATGATTAACACAAATGTAGAGTAGCATGGAAAAACACGAGGGTTTAATAAATATGTAAGATCACAAAGAGTGAATACATCTGCGCCACTGACGGTGATTTCAAGGCATACCACTAATATTCCTCAGCCTTTGGGTCTTAGTAACCTGAGGACTTCAACCAAGCCGTCTACACCTCCCTACGCTACTAACTCAAACCAGTTACCAAAACTTCATGAATTGAGATGCCATTGTTTGATTCGAACACTCCTAACGCCTTTTCGGCCTAATCTTATATCACCTAACATTTCTCGTCGATCAAGATAAGTGGCTTGGCATACACCTGACATGTCCCAGTCATATTAGTCGATTAGTCGTCACCCTATAGACTGACTTCCCCTCTTTACCTAATACTCGATGCCTAACCTCAATATTACTCTCTATATTGTATCACTTAACACGGGAGATTGATTTCACTTACACTTCAGAATTTTGCTACGGACAGAAGCTGTATGTAATGTCCTCTTTATTAATTTTTCTGATTTTCGTCTATATTAATTCAGCAGCTACATTTTTAGGCAATAGAGTTAAAATACAAACTTTTCTTCAATTGATACACAGTTTTGTTCATCGAAGAAGTATTTCTTTCCTACAAATTCATTTTACAAGCTTTACAGTCGTATTCATATAACAGAGAAAGGCAAGGATGAGGATATATTATTATTCCCTTAGGTTCCGAGTGGAACATACGGCTTCAACAACACATCCCCACTTTGTCCTATCTTCTGCCGTCCTCTTCAGCTTGAACTACGATTGCCCACAATCCCTCATCTCCTCTCCACACGATTTCCTCCATGTCACTCTAGGACGACCAACTCGTCGCTTCCCGTTGGGATTTCACTCGACGGCATGGCGCGCGAGGTCACTAGACGGTATCCTCAGTGCATGTACGATCGACCTCCATTTTCTCCCATACATTTGTTGAACGATAGTTTCTTGGTTGGTTTGTTCCCATAGTTTCTCGGTGCCTGCAATTTGATCTTCAGCATGGAGCGAAAGCGTCTGTCGCTAACTGATGATAATTGACATGATTTTCAAAGATGGTGAAAATGAATTGAAGTGGAATTAATTTAAACGATAAAATAAAACAGAAAACAAGATAACTGTGACCGAGGTGAACATAGGAGTCTGACAAGAATTTCAGAAATGCATAATTTGGGTTTTTGTCCATGTGTAACTAAATCTTCGGCTATATATATATATAAGTGAAGAAGACGAAAACTTTTTAAATGACCGAATTTAGCTTTGACCTAATTCAAGAAGGTATTCAAAAACAGAAGACTTCATTATCCGTTATTCTCTTTTCATCAACCAAGCCGGTTAGTTTTCAGCTAAGTATTTCCGGAGAATATACAACATTCAATGTAATCTGCTCCAAAGGAGCAGAAGAAGGAGAACATATACATAGAAGTTGTTGAAAAAAAATATTTCTTTCAATTTGACCACAGATTGATATCGGTTAGAGAACCTCCACTGAAGACCTGGGAATACTGAGTTGGGTCCCGGTGGCTGTATGGTCTACGAGTTTGTCTTGTAACCAGAAGGACTTACATTTGAGCCCCAGTGGGTGCGAACTGCCGACGAGACCAAAACTAGCAGGAAACAGTTGGCCAGTACTCCCTGGTTTTCAGTGGTTTAACTGGAGAAATCTGTGTGTTCTCCTTATTGTTATATTTAATAGTTTTTATGTGTTAATCTAAAGCCTAATGATAACTGATTCCTGAAATATATATATATATATATATATATATATATACATTTATAAAAGATACGTAGACGACACTTTCGTCATCTGCGATAAGAACGTAGTTCTTGATGATGTCTTGTTCGCCTTCAACAACTGCCATCCTTCTTTACAATTCACCATAGAAAAGGAATCTGAACTAAGTATTCCGTTTCTTGATGTGTGCCTCAGCAGACGGAATGACGGATCTCTCGAAAGATCGATCCACCGAAACGTACATGGAACGGACAACTAACTAATTTTTACAGTTGGGTGCCTATTTCCAGGAAAAGGAATTTAATCCATTCACTCTGCTTTAGGATAAGGAAAATTTGTAGTTCTGATTGCGTCGACTCAGAACTTGACTTCCTGAAAGCCACACTCGCAGAAAACGGTTACCCTAACCGATTTATTGACAGAAACATGAAAGATAAGCAGTCTAAACTGGTCACCGACTCAGTTCCAAAGAAAACCCTATTCGTGAACTTGGAATTCAAAGGAGATCAAGCTTCTGATATGCTCAAAAATCGTCTTTCTAAATCAGTTAGTAAAACGTTCCCTGCAGCTAGATTACATATGACGTTCACGAGCCGCAAACTGTTCTCTACCTCTGTAAAAGATAAGCTCCCCCGTCTGACCGCCTCCATGTGCATCTACCAGTTCACCTGCTCTTGTGGAGCAAGGTACATTGGCCGTAGTCAGAGAATGCTCTCCACACGGATACGAGAACATATTCCAGCTTGGTTTTACAAGGGAGAAAGGAAATGTGTGCGAAGCTCTATCTTAGAACACCTCATCGACTCCTGTCACTCGGTCAACCCTGACCATGATTTCAAGGTCATATATAGAATTCATGCCAACTTCCCGCGTTTTCTTCGTTACAGACTTCTAAAGACAGCTGAGGCCTTGGCAATTCATGACTTTAAGCCAGACCTTTGTGTACAAAAGAAGTATGTACAATCCCTACTGCTGCCTTGGCCGTAGAGGGATAGACATTTATTATTTTATTTATTTATTATTCTATGTACTTTTCCCTTATTACTTCGATTATTATTATTATTATCATATTATTATTATTATTACGACTCTCATTCTGAATCTTTTCCACTTGACTTACTTGACATTTTAAACCAAAAATTATTCATGTGTATACTTTTTATCTTTATTTTTACAATATTAAATTCTATGTTATCAAATTTCACACCATGTTACGTAACATTTTATATTCGTCTATTAATCTTACAATTATATTCCTCTCCCCAAAATATATATATTCAATTAGATCTCATCAGGCTTAACTCTAATACATATAAGTTTACAAATGAAATTCAAATATAAACCAATCATGGTGTTTTGTCTATAGGATAATAAGATGGTGAATATAAATTGTGCAATTGGTCATAATAGTAATAATAATAATGGTTTTATCAGTAATAAGGATGAAAAAGTGAGGCAATCTGTGATAACACGAATAGTGAAAAAAAAACAGCATGATTAAACAAGCAAATGTTCAGGTGGAAGTAGTTGATAAAGGCTAGTAAAAACAGATGAATCGATTACGTAATGCTAGACTGATTGTAAGGGAAGTAAATGAGACACGTTTTTAATGAAGATGTGGTAAGATTAAGGGATGATAAGAAAGGGGTTGGAAATATAAACAAGGGGGAGTGTAGAAGTCTTTAGTTGGTTATGTCTGAATAGGCCAAGGGAGGGATAATGGCTGTACGAACTTCTTTTGAATGCATAGTTTAGGTTTAGTAGTTCGAATGCCTATCGTTTCAGCTGTGTGCAGTAGACGAATATGAAGTCTATTGGGAAGATTCGGTGGGATACAATGAATTACTTTGAAGGCTCTCGTCTTCTCGACTACATGACCACTATCAATTAAATGTGACAAAATTGAGCTACGGATTGTTTTTGTCTGTCCTTTGCCAAACCACCACTAACACGTCGGTTGGCTAAGCTGTCTAGTAGTACGCCCAACATAACTGTCACCGAAGCTGTAGTTGAATTGATAAATGCACCTAGATGTAACAAAGCACCATGATTCGTTTATATTTGAATTTTATTTGTAAACTTATATATATTAGAGTTAAGCCTGATGAGATCTAATTGAAAACAATATTGTTCGCCAGCATACAGTCTTCTATAGTTGCTTATAGTTTCTCTGTCCAATGAGATACAAGGAGAGAGTTGTGTACGGAGAGAATGCTCAGAATCTAATAAGATAATATTTGGATAAGGCATTTAGAAGACAAATTTCGCGAGATAATGATGTCATT